AAGAAAAGATTGCACAAATCACACTGTGGATATAACTCAATGATAAGAAGAGCCAGAGGGACAGTATATTCTCCACAACAAGAAGGATACAAAGAACAAGCTGAAGATATATGCACTGATTGATGATCAGAGCAATCGTTCATTAGTCAGCCCTGCCTTCTTCAAGAAATTCTCGGGAACTATGCAGAATACACTTACACTTTGTCTTCGTCTCCAGTAAAGGGTCAGACGTATGGGTGTCGTTACACCATGTTGTAGAGAAAAACACTAAAAACTTTACCCTCTCATAATTTGAGTTTGTTTGAAAGACATTTCCTACTCGGGGACAGTTAAAGTGAAACACCTGTTGTTACAGGAATTTTTTTTAATGCATTGTGGGAATAAAACAAAAATATGATAGAACAAAGGAGGAATATTAACACATGTGCTTTAATTTTTACTGAACTGGAGGATAAATCCGGAACACTGTTTGGAAGCAGAGCTAGGTTGAACTTTTTAAAGAACATCAGAAGTTTTAATAGGTACTGCAGTAGACAGCCAGTCTAAATTCACCATGAGTTTGAAAACAAAGAAGATGCTGGCCAGAACAGCCTTTGAAGCTCCAGCGAGTGATTTTGAAAACTGGATAGAAAATATGCCCCAAAAGATAGAAAAAACTATAATCAGGCAGAAATTTCAAGAACATTGGTTTTTGAACAGTATGTAATAAGTTGTGATGAACTACTTAACCACATGGACAGGTGGAGAGAAGTAGATAAAATTGCAGCCACTACTGCTGAATTAGAAGCGTTACAGAGATCTGGAAAAGATCATGAATGACCTCATGTTAACCAGGTCAACCTCTAGTCCTAAGCAGACGTCTAAGGTCAGTAAGAACTTGAGTAAAGAAGAATCAGACGTGTCCAAGACTCAAGCACAGTAGAGGCAGTCAGTTTTGACTCATCAAGGCTTCTAGAAAGGGAACATATTCCTAAGTTTAATGGTGATAAGAAAACATACGAGGGCTGGAAAGTAGCATTCCTGACGTGTGCGGATCGCACTACCTTCACTCCAGACTACAAGCTCCTACGATTACATAACAGCCTTCAAGGTGAAGCATTAAAAGTTGTCGAGAACCTTGGTTATTCAGCTACAGCTTACAACGTAGCAATGGAGAGATTAGAAAGAAAGTATGGTTGAAAACGAAGACAAATCACCTTGAGATTGGAAGAATTGGACAGATTCAGACAAGTCAGAGACAACCACTCTAGAGACTTAAAACTGTTAGCTGAGCTATTGGACTCAATAGTAGTGAACATAATGGAAGCTGGACAGAAGAGTGAGCTAGGATGTGGCTCCCTCTATATCAACATCCAACGCAAGCTAGATGAAGCACTACTGACCAAGTACTACCGATGGGTGAATGAAAAACAATGCGAAAGGTGTGCTGAACCTACAAGAATTTATAAATTAGGAAGCAGAGTTCCAAATGACCGCTTCTGAGACAATTAAAGGTCTCTCAACACTAAAGCAGAAAAGCACCGACACAGAGAAGAGAGGGGCAACTCTCTTACTGTCTGAAAGAGAGACAAGGATTGTGTGACAAGTGACAAGCCACTCATGAATATTTAGCAGTTAATGTAACTTCCGGCAACTCCGAAAGTCACGTGGTGAATTTGACCTTGTATTAGTATTCATTCACTGTGTGTGCAGAGACCATATTGTTGTTTTGTGTTAAGTTTCATTATCAATATGATAATTGTAATCAGGTTGTAGGCAGATCCCTGTCCTGAAAAAGAAAAAAAAGTAATTCCCTTTTGGTTATTTTTACATTTTTTTTTCACTAATATGCAAAGAACTGCAAAGAAGACTGCACAAGAACTATAAGGATTTCATGTTAAAAACCAGTTTTTTTTCCATTAGGAGATTCAATTATTCATGCAAAGAGACACTTGCCTAGCACAGTGTGTGAACGTAAGGAGAGGATCATCACACAATCTTTATTCATGAATTATACGTGACAATCACTAGGAGTCTGGAAAAGATCAGACAGATTCAGTTTAGATGCGTTTAAATATTAACTAGAGTGAAATCAAAGACAATCGCTTTTAAAAATCTGTCCAAATACGTCATGTACCCAAAGTCATCTTACTGTGAAATATTGTTGGTGGTTTTTCGGAGGTCTGTACCATCATGGAGTTATATAATGGGATAAAAAATGGATCCATTCCTTTGGGTAGGCAATGGACATTTCCAGAAAAACTGAGGGATTGCAGTGTGTCTGCTACGATAAGCATGAACAAAACAGAGACAGAGGATCTTGTGATGTTAAATATGAAGATATGTGAGACTGTATGCCATTTCAGACACTACATTAGATTTGAAATTGCAACTGCAGGTGAATCGAGATCTTTTGGCTCTCATTCTAGTCCTGAAACTGAAAATGATGACGCCGTACCTGGCTCAGTGGGAAAACTTACATATTTGACGTGTTGCTTGCAGCTAACCGCAAGTTGTCTCTCTCGGAAGCCTATGCAGGAGACCCCAAAGTAATGAACAATAAACGCATTTTGTTTAATAAAGTGAGGAAGATGTTGGAAAAAGTGGCTTAAAGAAACTGGAATTTTTGTGTATAAAATTTTTAACTAAAACTTGTTTCATTCATGTCTGTATTTTACAAAAATGTTTAATTCTTGATAGGTGATGATGGTCATTACTGAAGCTTCAATGAAGTGCTTGGTACCCAAAAAACAGAAGAGCATATGCCGTCTTTCAAGAAACCCCATAAATCTGTTACTGCTCATGTAGGCCACTGGATTCCTTTTTTACCCAGTGCACAGACTGCTCGAGTGTGTAAGACGTTTGGACTGTGTTGACTGCGAGAGACCAACAGCACTAAATCTTTACAGAATTTGATCTTTCTAGTTTTGAGACATTCTTACTTCAAAGAACTGAAATATGGCAAGTTTGGCTGGGAATGCACAGGAAATGGACTGGGAGGCAGGCGACTTGATAACTGCATGGAAGGGCTTTTGCCAGGACACCGACTCATGTTTGGGGGCCCAGTGAAGAAGACTGCTGAAGAAGATCGGTGCAATTACTTGATGATATGGGTTGGACAAAAAGGACGTGACACTTTTAGCACTTGGACACTCACTGAAGATGAGAAAAAAGGTTAGATGTGTACTATGAGAAACTTGAAGAATATATGTTATACCGAGGAGTAGCATAGTGTTTTTAAGATACAAATTCCAGCTAAAAGTCCAAGAAGAAGGTGAATCCTTTGATCAGTTTGTCACCAAGTTGAAAGTTCTTGTGAAAGAATGCAGGTATAGTGACCTCGACGAGATTATTAGAGACCGAATAGTCTTTGGTGTGAAGTCAGTGAAAATACGAGAAAAACTTATTTATATGTAGCATGTATATATATGAGGTTGCGTATACGTATGTTAGTGGTTGTGTTAGTGTAGAGTAGTGTGTTCGTACCTTTTTTATTTGTGTTCGTGCGTCTCCATTTCTTTATATAACACACCCCTCTTTCTTACGCGGCACATTAGTTTCTCATTTCTGCCATGTCAACTTACAGGTCAGATAGACTTGATTGGTTTGCTTTTCATTTTCTTTGTGTTATGATTTTGTATTTCTTTAAGTTATTTTGTTTGATATTTTCAGCGCTTGTCATTTCTTTTCATCCTTATTTTGTTTAGAAGTTTAGTTTAATCATAGAAATAAGTATCTTTAGTTCATGAATGTTGTTCACGTAAATTTTTCTATGTTCGTTCAGTTCTGCATTAAGTTCATTTTATTTATTTGTAAAGTATTAATTAGAGATTCGTTTCTCATTTCTGCCATGTCAACTTACAGAGTAAACTCAGGTTCTTAATAAAGTACAGTGCAAGCTGTTACATATAAATGAAGGAAATGACTTGTCACTTAGTAAAGTGGTTGATATTGATATGAGGTACAACAAAGTCAACTAAGGAACAGGAATAGGAATCTTTGAACAAAATAAGCTTCGAAAGTGCTAGGGGTGCCCCCAAGTCAAGCATGCATCCATACAGGCCACATGTAAAATCAACAACGAAACAAAAAATGAAGCCCAGCATTGACCAGGTTTGTGATAGACAGTTTGAATGTGGACAGTTTGGATATCGACAGAGCCGCACAGTCCTGTGCCCTGCAGAAGGAAAAAGATGTCACTTGTGTAAAAAAGCTAGATAATTTTAAAAACAAATTCCCTACACAGCAAGTATACACGTCATCGACAGCGAATCAGAAGATGACCCAAGTGAGCTTGAAGAATTGTTTTGTAAGTACCATAGGTACTGTTGGCCAAGAGGCATGGTAAATATGAAAACAAAGGTAAAATGGTTTTCCACTTATCGTGTTATTGGTGAAAGTGTACGATGACAGCAATGACGAAACGACGGCGACGACAGACACACATGTGACGGCTATATGTACAGACACATCTGTGTCTGTACATAAAAATCTCTGTGAGGTGGAGATTTCAAAGCTCAAGGTTGCCTCTTTCATCTCCACACTCACCAAAAAAGAAAATAATCAATATAATTACAATTATCATAATAATAATAATAATAATAATAATAATAATAATGATACTATAACAGCTGACACCAGTTGCACTTTGGGATAGGGAAATTCATTTTTAATTTTAATGTTCTAAGATTTGAGTAAAGAGATGTTACCTCAGCTAATACCAAGCAAAAAATCTGTTCCACAGAATTTTTTCCAGACAATGAATAAATTCAGTTAAAAGTATGTGTCAACCCCAACTCCAGGCCCCAATTTCACACAAAAAAAAAGTTGGGTTCCCTGGCTACGAACTTAATTGCCACGGTTACATGGTCACATCTTACCCGATCAGGGGCAGTGTAGCAGCACTCTTGTAGAAATCCTAGTCAACTAAGCCAGGGCACAGGCTTAATTTAAATGCTGATCAATTTCCAAGTCGTATTCATCCTTCTTTTTCAGGACAAATTTCATACCGTATAATGCAGATATCCTCATTCCCAAATGCAGGGTCATGTATATATGCTACTCAGTTTCCAAGCTATAATTACTGTTTTATTTCATGATGAATTTCATGATGTGGATATCCTCACTCCTGTAAACAGGATCATGGCGCTCCAAAGGTATCTCCTCCACACGAAACACTTTCTCTACCAACTGAAATACATAAATTGGTAAATATTAACGAACATGTGAATGAATAAATGATGAAAATAAAAAAGATTAAATAATGAAGCAGTCAATGTAAATAACATGATATATAAACAGTAATCTAAAAAATATAAGAAATAAATTTTAAAATAAGCAGGCAAAAGAACAAATAAATAGTGAAAATGTTTTAAAACGAAGTGAAGCCACATTCACTTTCACATCACACAGTCTATTATATAAATTAAATTTTAAAAAATAATGAAGAAATATAACGTAACACACTCATGTTTAAAGAGGGTCCTTTTAAAGTGTCAGATTTCTAAGCTCCTTTTTTCATCTTCTTTGAAGAATTTCTTTGCAGCTTACATTTATTCCAGCTGGCCCTTTTCCATTCATGGCAATATTTGTGAGAAATATCTTAACTTCTATTTTTACTTACTTCAAAGAATTTCTTTTGCAGCTCGGGTTTATTTCCAGTTGTTCTCTCCTCATAGGAGCAAATGACCACCGTGTGGTCATCGCACAGGTCAGTTATAGTCTGGACTAGAGGTCCTACAGCCTGAAATGAAAGTGAAAGTACTTCAGTGTGGTCATCACAGAGGTCAGTTATGGTCTGAACTAGAGGTCCTACAGCCTGAAATGAAAGTGAAAGTACTTCAGTGTGGTCATCACACAGGTCAGTTATAGTCAAAATTAGAGCCTGAAATGAAAATGAAAGTGTCTTCATGAGAAAATACAAATCATCGCAATTTACGTGGTCATTACATTAGGTCGTTATAGTCTGAACTAGTGGCAATATAAAAACAAAACTGAGAGAAATTTGGAAATTTTCAAATTACTGATACTTTTGGCCATTTCCATTTCTCCACAAACCTTTTTTTTATACTGAACATAATAATACATTCAGGTTGGACTCCTATAACACTTTAGTACAAACAAATATCTTTACAAGAACCTTGTGTGTGCAAATGTGTGTGTGTGTGTAAGAGAGAGAGAGAGAGAGAGAGAGAGAGAGAGAGAGAGAGAGAGGTGACTGAGAGAGGAGAGAGAGAAGTCTTTTTTTCTAAAATCTTAAATAATAGTTTAATATTAACAACTACATGTATCTTTACACACCTCCTCATAATAAACACAGTCAGCAATCAGTATGTAATCAGGCGGCTGGTAGTCCGTCACATCTGTTCCCCACCTGAGCTCTCTGGCTGTGGCACTACCTGTGATCAGGGCCTGGTTCACCCTGATGTTCAGAGCCATCAGTGGAACAAAGTCTTCAAGGTCTGTGATTATGGAATTGGCACTGAAACAGTGAGTTAAATATATATATATATATATATATATATATATATATATATATATATATATATATATATAAGCAATGGCTGATATAAAATAGTGGAGGGGGGAACAGATGGTACATGTCCTCCTTCAGCTTGAGATCTCCCCTTCTCAAAAAAAAACTTTATTATGGTCTAAAACCAAATGAGGCATAACCAAGCAATTTTTTGTTATTGATCACAAGATATTAAGAGATATGTCCTTCATATCTGCTGAGCAAAATGAGTTAAAATCTTATCATTTAAAATATTTTAAAAGATCCTGATTCAGTTAATGCTGTAATTACATTTTTCACTCCTGAATATCTGTGTATCTTCAAAATTTCACCAAAATGCATAAAGATACATTCTTAATCACCAATGCTGATGCCAAAAAAAATCCTTTTTAGAAGAGGTACCTAATAATTTAGATCTAAAAGAATACTATAACCCCCAAAAATAATAACAGCATACCCAAGACATGCAGCCTGTATTCCAACAATGCCTGTCCCAGCCCCAAGCTCCAAAACATTTTTCCCTCTCAGTTTGTTACTCCCAGGAGTCTCCTGGAAATCTGGAGTCTCCAGGTAGAGAGTTAGAGATATGGCGGCGTCCCACACCACGCAGCCGACATCACCCACCGCAGACTGGTTAATACAAAGTACGGAGCCGTCATTCTTCTCTAGCTCTCTGGTGAACAGGTTGTCTAGATCCACCGACTGTGACATGGTGTCAAAAGTCACTGTCAAAAATATATACAGTACTATTGAATGTCTAAATATATTATTGTGCAGTCATCAATATACTACAAGTACGTAATAGTACTGTACTAATTAAATGAAAATTAACAAGAACAAAATCGTAGAATTTTTACATACAATCTTTGATTTTAAAAGCCAAAAACACTTGTTCATAAGTACATGTAATACAGTATGTCAATAAACAAAACTAAAGAATACTTTATAATACCGTGACTGTGATACGAGTTTTCACAATAAAACATGTAAAAAAAAAAAAAACAAAAGAAAATGAAAAATATATAAATAAAAAATGCTAAATAATTATTCAGTGCAGATGAAAATAGAATAAATAATTGAAAAAAAAAAATAAAATCCATATTTAATGGAAATCCGTGTACACAAAAGAGTACGACTGAAAAGTGTATTGCATTGTAATTACTGACTTATCAAGAACTCTGCTAGGATACAGTACGGGGGGGGGGGGGGGGTAGTACTAGTGACTATGCTGTATATAGCAGTTATATACTCGGTATACTTACATGCTACACACGTGTACGTTCATTAGACTGCATCATGATAAGTAGATCTACATGTACACTACATTGAGTCGGGTGGTGTCTCTCAATTAAACATTCACAAGTAGTTTCTGTATCACCAGAATAAATGTCTCTGGATTTCACAATAGCTGTCTGAATTGTAAAGGGAGATCCATAACCCAGTGGATCAGTATAAATGTATAAAATTCATACAAGCACCAACCGGTAAAGTCACGTTGACTGTTCGCTGGAGCTCTTGCGTAAAGGGAGAACTGAACCTAACGGAAGGTCAAGGTTATATCTGCCGGGAAAATTTAAGACTTGTTATTATTTTAATTTTTGTTACGACAATGGACACAGTTGTCGATTTGATAGAATTTATGTATCCCACAGATAATTTGAAGAACCTCTATCTGACAAGGATACCGCTTGAATACACAGATGATGAGCTGACAGTAAGATCCACTTTTATAGTTTAGTAGTAAATTAAACAGCTACATGATCCATGATCACCGTTTAGCATGATTTTCGTCCTGTTAATAGTGCTATGGCAGATAAAGAAAGAACTTGCTGTGAAGCTTTAATACCATCTGCATTCTAGTTCTTTCACGTTATTCTTACTTATTAATCGAATTATTTTTTTTAATTTTATTTTTATATCTTTTAAAATTATTTATTTAAAGATTTTTTAATTCTAGTAGTTACAGCTCTTA